CATTTATGACTATGGTTGTAAATGAATATTTCTTTTAAAGCTGACGCACAGTGGTATAGGAAAAAAAAAGAGGGAAATAATTCGGTAACTTCTAAACGGTTAATCCGATTTTAATGAAATTTGGTGTGCACAAAGAGGAGGTGTTGTCGAGTTTAGGTTTTGAATTTGGACCTTATAGGCCAACCAGGGGCCCGGCGGGGGGTCATCAAATTAGGACACCTCGGCTATGTTAAATATTTAAAACGATCCTATTTCTTCATTTGAGTTCCGATTTAAAAAAAATTTCGTATATAGAATCTCCTCATCGAGCACTATAAAAAATGTTGTCATAGCAGTAAATTATCTCTTATAGTTTAGGAGATATTCGCATTTGAAAATTAAAATTTTAAAATTTTTACCGTCCTTACTTTAGTTTTTTTTTGATAATAGCAGGTCCAAATATTCCCGATTTTCGCCATTTTTTTTTATTCGCTTAACAACAAGTTTATATATCAAGCAGTGAAAGAATTATGTAAAAATCATGACTGAGTCCAAAGTTATAGGCATTTTAATTTAAAAAATTAAAAAAAGGCGATTTTTTGTCATTTTTTTGGGAAAAAAGTATCTTTTTCTTTTTAAGTTATCTAAAAAGTTTCTAAGAAGATGTATATAGAATTTATACTTTTTGGAAAGCTGACTTTACATAAAGTACGATAAATGAAACAAAACCTAAAAATTTTTGATACCGAGGGGACCAGGTCCATCCAAAAAAACCCTATTTTTTATGGAAAATTAAATTTTGAGCAAAAATTCTCAAATCGCATAGTCGATATCAAATTATAGTGACCTGTTTTATATGACCCAATATGTTCTTAATCATTTTGTAACGGGTTTCGATAACCCCGCCCCTGGTATGGATATAATAGGCAAAAAACTAAAAAATCCCATTTTTGGGATTTTTTAAAACTTTTTTGGGAATTCCGGGATTTCTAATAAGAAAATTCGAAATTTTTATTTAATTTTGGATTTTAAGTAAAAAAATCTACCTAACTGTAAAATTTCATCAAAAAATATTCATAAATAAAATTTTTATTGCAATTAGAAAAATTTGTATCTTCGCAAAAACTGAATAAAAAACATTTTTTAATTTTTTTTAAAAAAAGTATTCCGCGAATTTTTTAATTTTCAAAAATTATATACAGTTTTGAAAAATAGACAAAATTACCTTTCCATTGATATATAACATGCCTACCTAATGTTTTTTAAGTGACAAATTAATTAGGGAAAACTCAACATCTTTTAGAAAATTTGCCTAGCACTATTATTTTCATCCATAAGGTTAACTCTTAAATTTGTTACATATATGGATGAAAATAATAGTGCTAGGTAAATTTTCTAAAAGATGTTGAGTTTTCCCTAATTAATTTGTCACTTAAAAAACATTAGGTAGGCATGTTATATATCAATGGAAAGGTAATTTTGTCTATTTTTCAAAACTGTATATAATTTTTGAAAATTAAAAAATTCGCGGAATACTTTTTTTAAAAAAAATTAAAAAATGTTTTTTATTCAGTTTTTGCGAAGATACAAATTTTTCAAATTGCAATAAAAATTTTATTTATGAATATTTTTTGATGAAATTTTACAGTTAGGTAGATTTTTTTACTCAAAATCCAAAATTAAATAAAATTTCGAATTTTCTTATTAGAAATCCCGGAATTCCCAAAAAAGTTTTAAAAAATCCCAAAAATGGGATTTTTTGGTTTTTTGCCTATTATATCCATACCAGGGGCGGGGTTATCGAAACCCGTTACAAAATGATTAAGAACTTATTGGGTCATATAAAACAGGTCACTATAATTTGATATCGACTATGCGATTTGAGAATTTTTGCTCAAAATTTAATTTTCCATAAAAAATAGGGTTTTTTTGGATGGACCTGGTCCCCTCGGTATCAAAAATTTTTAGGTTTTGTTTCATTTATCGTATTTTATGTAAAGTCAGCTTTCCAAAAAGTATAAATTCTATATACATCTTCTTAGAAACTTTTTAGATAACTTAAAAAGAAAAAGATACTTTTTTCCCAAAAAAATGACAAAAAATCGCCTTTTTTTAATTTTTTAAATTTAAATGCCTATAACTTTGGACTCAGTCATGATTTTTACATAATTCTTTCACTGCTTGATATATAAACTTGTTGTTAAGCAAATAAAAAAAAATGGCGAAAATCGGAAATATTTGGACCTGCTATTATCAAAAAAACTAAAGTAAGGACGGTAAAAATTTTAAAATTTTAATATTCAAATGCGAATATCTCCTAAACTATAAGAGATAATTTACTGCTACGACGACATTTTTTATAGTGCTCGATGAGGAGATTCTATATACGAAATTCTTTTTAAATCGGAACTCAAATGAAGAAATAGGATCGTTTTAAAAATTTAACATAGCCGAGGTGTCCTAATTTGAGGACCCCCCGCCGGGCCCCTGGTTGGCCTATAAGGTCCAAATTCAAAACCTAAACTCGACAACACCTCCTCTTTGTGCATACCAAATTTCATTAAAATCGGATTAACCGTTTAGAAGTTACCGAATTATTTCCCTCTTTTTTTTTTCCTATACCACTGTGTGACGTTGCTGCAATATTGGTTTCTTGTAGTCGATGATTTTAAGATTATATTTTAAGGTATAGGAGAAATGAAAAATTATATTTACGTTAAAGAAATGCTTAAATAAGGCTGACAATTTAGTAAAATGTCAATGAATTCTCAATATTGCTGTTTGCTAAACAAAGCAAAAGTACTATCAGAAAGTTCTTTCTAATAGATTTTCTTTCAATTCAGAAAATCACTTTCTGTGTTGATCAAGGTATGTCCCGTCCGTCTACCAGTCCGAAGTAAGGTAATAAATACCTCAAGTACTTTATCAATTAATCCACATTCTTAACATACACACTGGTGTAGGGCATGATATGGTTGACTATGGGCCGAGCTAAATGTTGTTTTACGGAATTACAATTGTACCTTTTCATCCAGGAACACACTTTTGTAAACTAAACTAACAACTAATAACTAACTAACTAACTAACTAACATAACTAACTAACTACTAACTAACTAACTAACGAACTAAACTAACTAACTAAACTAACTAAAGACAACAACGAACTAAAACTAACTAACGAACTAACAACGTAACTAACTAACTAACACTAAAACTAACTAACATGACTAACTAAACCTAACTAACACATAACTAAAAGAACTAACAAAAACTAAGAAAAACTAACTAACGAAACGAACGAAGAACGAACGAAACGAACGAACGAACGAAACGAACGAACGAAAGAACAACGAACGAACGAACGAAAAAGAACGAACGAAGAACGAACGAAGAACGAAACGAACGAAACGAAAACGAACGAAAACAACGAACGAAACGAACGAACGAACGAAAGAACGAACGAACGAACGAACGAAGACGAACGAACGAACGAACGAACGAACAAACGAACGAACGAACGAACGAACGAACGAACGAACGAACGAACGAAACGAACGAACGAACGAAAAGAACGAACGAAACGAACGAACGAACGAACGAAACGAACGAACGAACGAACGAACGAACGAACGAAACGAACGAACGAACGAAAACGAACGAACGAACGAACGAACGAACGAACGAACGACGAAAACGAACGAACGAACGAACGAACGAACGACGAAGAACGAACGAACGAACGAACGAACGAACGAACGAAGACGAACGAACGAACGAAACCGAACGAACGAACGAACGAACGAACGAACGAACGAACGAACGAACGAACGAACGAAAAAACGAAAACGAACGAACGAACGAAACGAACGAAAACGAACGAAACGAACGACGAACGAACGACAGAACACGAACGAACTAACGAACGAACTAACGAACGAACGAACGAACTAACTAACTAAACGAACGAAAAACTAACGAACGAATAACGAAACGAACTAACGAAAGAACTAACTAAAAACTAACTAACGAACGAAACGAACAACTAACGAACTAACTAACAACTAACTAACTAACTAACTAACTAACAAGAACTAACTAACTAACGAACCAACTAACTAACTAACGAACTAACTAACGAACTAACGACAACGACCGAACTAACTATAACTAATAACGAACTAACTAACTAACTAACTAAAACGAACTAAACTAACTAACTAAACTAATTAATTAATAACTAACTATATAAATCTTACTTCTATGTTACTATTTCAAAAAACATGGGGTGAAAATTACAGTTCATTCCCTAAATAGTCCGATTTCAAAAAATCTAATACTTAGCTCTCGAAGGAACTTTTATTAACATTAAAACTTGTAGGATTTCAACTTTTAAACTAGAGGAAATCTTACAAACTTTGTTTTAAATTTTGGAAAACCTATTTCGACATTTTTTTAAACCTGCACAGAAATTAGTTCAAATACACAAACTTTGCAAATTATCTCATATCTATTATGACAACAAGCTTGTTTTAATATGTAACCTAATTATGAAGAATCCTTTAAACCTTATTACATTTAATATAATAACTACTTAATACTTATGTAGTTTTAAATTTTTATCTACTTACTCATTTAGATACCTAACCAATGTATTTTTACAACAAACTGAATTGCATTAATAAAATGTCTACCAATTTACTTTTTTATTTACTCTTTCTATAATTAATTATATTCATAATTTGTATACTTTTTTATCTTTGCAAAATAAAAAAAATAAAAAAACAATAGTTTATTAATCACTTTGTAATGAAAATATATAAATAATGTTTTCCTTTCACTTAATATTATATATAAAATAAATTAACAAAATTATATTACTACTGTAACTACAATATATTATAAACTTACTCAATTTGTTATATGTATGTGTATTAAATGCTGAAATAACAAATTAATGTTTATTAAACTAACATTTGTCAATCCGTTGTTTTTCTGTTCTGTATTTTATTTATTTTACAGCCGGGTCAGCGACCACGACCACACGATGATGGAGGCTTCAGTAGAGGCAGAACAAAGGTATGTAATAGTTTTTTTCTTTCACTCTCTTTATATTTATTTATATTTTAAATCATATTTTTATATAAAAATTTTATATATTTACTACTAAATGAAAAACGGGAAAAAAATTCACAAATGTCATAACTTGAGGCCATTTTTCAACTGTACTCCATAAAAAGTAAAAGGAATACAAAGTACCAAAGCCAATGCCAGTATTTACTACTTTCATTCATACTCTTTCTACTACATACCTCACTCTCTCTCTCTCTTTTGCTTGAGCGTTTGTTGTGTGTGTATTCAGGTTTTTTAAAGCATAAGTATAGGCATAATTAATGCATATAAATTAATTATAAATTGTGCAACTAATTAAAAATTTTGTTGCTTCTACAGAATTTCTACATATAATTTTTTCTAGGCTTTATTGTTTCCTCTCTCTCTCTCTCTTCATTATACATTTATGGTTTCTACTATTGTAGCTGGCTGTTCTGTACTATTACTAATGTTGACCTCTGTCATTTAATTAAATTGGATTAAATATTATAAACATGTACATAAATTAAAAGGATAAAGAAAACTATTTATAAATTGTGTTTGTGTGCATTTGGTGTTAAAATATATTTATGAGGTGTATAATTTAATTATGGATACTTAATTCCAATTAATTTAAGTCACAAGAATCTGCTTTCTAAAAAAAGTAAGCCAAAATGGTATAATGGAAATTGATTATAAGAAATTATAAATGACTTCCGGTTATTTAAACACCTATGGTTAACATAAGTATATACGATGATTTTGAGAATTTGGAAAAAGAAAAGTGATTCAAAATCCTAAGGATTTAAAAGAAAAGTTATTAAGTAATAAAAGTAAAATTTCTATACTACTACACAGAGGGAAAAAGAAATATACACGCCTGGTACCAAATTGACACCAAACTGTTTATAATTTTTCAATAACATCCGTTGTCAAAGTATATACTTACGTACGACAACACTATGTAATGTTGACAACATTGCAACAATTCATTGCCGAAATCTAAATTTTATACACATCCGTTGTCTAAATGTTAACAAACGTGGTAAGCTCACTGTTGACAAGCAATCCGTTGCCAATAGTGAGCTTACCACGTTGCAATTTTGACAACGTTGCGTTGTCATCATTACATAGTGTTGTCGTAAGTATGTATATACTTTTGCAACGGAAGTTATTGAAAAATCATAAACTCTTTGGTGTCAATTTGGTACCAGGCGTGTATATTTCTTTATCCCTCTGTGTAAGTATAGAAAGAATAACCAATAAAGATGTAACTGCTTCCAAAAGCATTCTATAGAACACATGCTCCTTCTATGTCCGTTTGTTGGATTCTTGTTGGTAGACTGCAGTTTTCAATTCATATCCCTAATATATGCTTAATAAACGAAAATTTTAAACAAAAAATTTAGTCAATATATTGATCACTATACATATATTTGTATGTACTAATTTAGTTTTAATTTATTTTATTGCACAAACATAGAAAATATTTTAAAAACCCAATATTTCTGTCTACACTATAAATAACCGTTCATTTATTTTAATAGAGTACTAACTCAATATTCAGGTTTTTTGAACTTAGCAAAACATCTTAAAAAATTTAAAATTATAAAAGCTCTAATATACTAAGCTCTTTTTTATATTTTAGATAATATAACAAAGTTCAGAACCTACACCTCTTAACCTCCAACAATACGGAGTTATCATTTTGTTTATGTTTATGTGATTGTATTTTTTTATTTAAATGAAATTTTAAATTGATACTGTTTGGTTTACGGGGACTTTGATTTAAGTCTCTGATAATACCAAACAATTTATTTTATGAATATTTTGTTGTTTTAAAAACAACATAAACAAAAACTCCTGCAGTGTCAAAAGTGACAATAGTTCTCTTTTATCACATGATATGATTTGGTTCCATTAACACCGTTAAGCTAAGAAGGTACTAGTTCCATGCACTCTAGGGTTTTCTATAAACAAAAATTTTAAATATATGCATGTACATTAGGGTGGCAAAACTTTTGCACTCTTTTATCGATCTTTTCATTAAATATTTTCTCCCCTAGTATGTATCGTACTTTCTGTAGACTTATAGATATTGCTAAACTATAACTAACTATTCTCCAATCCAATGGTGCCGGCTTAATAATATTAAGTATATAAATATATTTACCATTTTATTTATCTAAATTTTGTTTTTTATTTAATACATATTTGAATTTCAATAGGCTGTCATTTGTTTTTAGTTTTTAGATTTAAAACTGATAAACTAACACTATTAATGTTATTTTTAATCTTAAAAATTTGTCATCATGAAATGAAAATAAAATAAATATTTTTGGTTGAAATATTGGTTCTGAAATTAAAAATATCTAAAAACGTGGACACTTGGGGATATTAAGTAATCTCTAAGGTGTTAACAGTCCCATTATCGACTCTATTTGTATACCATGGATTTACAAAGGCTCTAGATTTCGAAATCTTAGTTAGTTAGTTAGTTTGTTAGTTAGGTAGTTAGTTAGTTAGTTAGTTAGTTAGTTAGTTAGATAGTTAGTAGTTAGTTAGTTAGTTAGTTAGTTAGTTAGTTAGTTAGTTAGTTAGTTAGTTAGTTAGTTAGTTAGTTAGTTAGTTAGTTAGTAGTTAGTTAGTTAGTTAGTTAGTTAGTTAGTTAGTTAGTTAGTTAGTTAGTTAGTTAGTTAGTTAGTTAGTTAGTTAGTTAGTTAGTTAGTTAGTTAGTTAGTTAGTTAGTTAGTTAGTTAGTTAGTTAGTTAGTTAGTAGTTAGTTAGTTAGTTAGTTAGTTAGTTAGTTAGTTAGTTAGTTAGTTAGTTAGTTAGTTAGTTAGTTAGTTAGTAGTTAGTTAGTTAGTTAGTTAGTTAGTTAGTTAGTTAGTTAGTTAGTTAGTTAGTTAGTTAGTTAGTTAGTAGTTAGTTAGTTAGTAGTTAGTTAGTTAGTTAGTTAGTAGTTAGTTAGTTAGTTAGTTAGTTAGTTAGTTAGTAGTTAGTTAGTTAGTTAGTTAGTTAGTTAGTTAGTAGTTAGTTAGTTAGTTAGTTAGTTAGTAGTTAGTTAGTTAGTTAGTTAGTAGTTAGTTAGTTAGTTAGTTAGTTAGTTAGTTAGTTAGTTAGTTAGTTAGTTAGTTAGTTAGTTAGTTAGTTAGTTAGTTAGTTAGTTAGTTAGTTAGTTAGTTAGTTAGTTAGTTAGTTAGTTAGTAGTTAGTTAGTAGTTAGTTAGTTAGTTAGTTAGTTAGTTAGTTAGTTAGTTAGTTAGTTAGTTAGTTAGTTAGTAGTTAGTTAGTTAGTTAGTTAGTTAGTTTCAATACTCTTCAATATTGAACTTTTTTGCAACATAATTCTGTTAAAACCAATTTGCAAAATTACAATCATTTAAATTTTAACAGAAATGCTAATTATATAATGGAATTATGCTAATTTCAAATTGAGTACAATTTGCAATTTGAAGATTTAGTCAAACAAGTTTTCTAAATCCCTAGCAAGCTTTTAGGCCTTAATAAACGTAAAAATTCCATCCTGTACTTTACACAATAACATATTTATTTATTCAAATTATAATTATTTTTTCTAGAATTTAGTAAATGTTATTGTTGCATTTTCATTTAAAACCATAAATATTTAAAAATTTCAACTAATTCCATATACATACTAAGTATATAAATATGTATTTGAAAAAGAATATTTTCCACATACAAATTTTCCAACATTTAGAGAAATTGTATGAAAACCTTGAGAGTTTATTAGTGAGCTTGTGTATAAAGTTAAAAAAATATTTTCAACATTCTTCTTCTAAACAAGTTGATAGAAATTCTAAAACAAAATTCAGGATTTGAGTAAATTGTAGGTACGTGAGTACTTGCTCTATGAATTAGTATTTAAAATGGCTTAAGAAGTTAAATTGTGTTTTTGTATACAGAGTGGGAGAAGAAAGAAGAGTAGAGTTTCTTTTTTCTTTATGCTTTTGGTCTAAAGTTGGTGTATATTTAATTCAAAAGTTATTATTGTTATTATTATTATTAACATGAACTGACAGAAACAAGGCCCCAAGGCTGACTTACTAAATTACATAATTTTCATGTACTCAAGTTGAAAACAACCTCAACCTTTGCTAAACTAATAAAGAAATACAAAAGATATGAAATGAAATATATGTATATAAATAACAACACATCAGCATCATCATCGTCATGTAGTACATGGACAGCATACTCGTTGGTGTTTTACATACATAACAAGGAAAACACCCTCTACCTGCTCCAACAGAAAACAAAAGCGAAGTAATGAACGCATATTTACTATGGACCAACCATCTAACCAACCGACCGACTGACATACATCTTATAAATTCTCTAAACATATTTAAAAGATAAAAATTTTTGTATATAATTTTGTTTTTTTTTATATTTTGTTGTATATTTTTGTCTATTCATTGCTAACAACATCTTTTAGTTAGATAATAACCATCTATATGTGTAGATCTACACTCGCCCTTAAATGATTTTAATGAAATGTTTATATACTATTTGCCACTGCTACTAAATACTCCGGCCACTTTACGTGTGCCATGAATATACATTATTTACCTTTTGCGTGCTGTTGTATGTACATAGGTAAATAATATATATATATATATATATATTATGACCATAAGACCAGTCAGATTTTTTTCTTAAGCATTAAAACTTAGTAAAAGTTCTTTAGAATTTTAAATTCAAACTAAATTCTAATGACTGTAAGCTAGAGATACAAATTTATAAACATACTCCTACAAACAATTCAGTAAAACTGAAAGTCAGTGTTTATTTGGTTATAGTATGAGTAGGTGTTTTTTTTCCATCATCTTCATCGTTCTATTATTCTTTTGTTTCCTCTCACCATAATTTTTTATTTGGGTCGTCCGGTTTAACAGACAGGAAATTAAGTTAAATTTTTCTTTAAGACATTTTTATTTAGAAAAAAAAAAAAAATAAATAAAGCAA